TAAAGATTTAATGTCAAGCGTTGTCATATTCTCTCACCTTCGCTAATTTCCATCCACTTAGGCCGTTCAAATGATTTAAATGCGAAAATGAAATAATAACAGGGTGATCTGCAGATTACCGAGCATTGTGCTGTTTTGGCTTTTAAAATTCAACGTATTAGCCCCCGAATGTTTTCCTCCACACAGCTTAGCGCTCAATTTAGAGAATTTATCTCGTATTGTGTTGGGTGAAATCCCCAAGAATGGCATCAGAGGATTATGGCGGGTAGATGAGCATGTGTTTGTTTGTTTGCATGCATATATATTTATATAAATGTCTTTATGCCTCTCTGAAAAGTGTGTGTGTGAAAGTGTAGTTTTTATGCGTGACTGTGTACGTCTACTTTTTTTTGGTACATACTTGTTGACGTGCACATTTGTGTGTATCCCAACATCTGGTGTGTGTGATGGGGTTTGTCTTCTCACAGCTCTGCCTAGTTAGCTTCTCCCTCTCTTTGCCTCACTGTTGCAGCCACTGTTTTCATTTTCTTTCTCCGCTTATCTGTTCATCAACCTCAATAAATGGACGCAAATTTTTTTTTGTTGAGGCAGCCTCACTCCGCTCCGGTTCCCTCAGCCAATCAGGAGACGGAACGGCCCGGATCTGCACGGCCGTCTTGTCAAACTTTTTTTTTTCATTCAGTCGTGAGATTCTCTCGGTTTGTTTTTGGTAAACAAACATGAAATAGGAACAAATAAAAATTCATACAGTCATATAGCGTTTGATATGCGTAGCCGACACAACAGAAGCGCTGATGGAAAGTGAAGATTGAGCAAGTTGGTGTATCATTGGAGGTTCAAACACAATACACTTTTTTTTTTCTTTCCTGTAGTCATTGTTCCTTGTTCTCTTTCATCATTCTTTACTTTCTTTTGTGTCCTCTAGTTTCGTCACCTTGCTGTGAATTTTGAACTTCGCTGATTGCGCTCACTGTTGGTTCGGTCCCTCTACCCCTCTTTCATTTTTCCCTCTGGTAGCAGCTCGGTCCTGTCAGGGCGCTCTTGTGTTTACGAATTATATAAGAATTTGTTGGCAGTGAGCAATAACAAAGGATACATGGAGCAGTTTTTCTACATTTTTATTTTTGAAAAATAAATTGGAAGTAAAGAGAAAAAAAAAAAAACCCAACTCCCTAAAGTGAATTGGTATAGCTTATTCCTCCGTCTCACAGAGCTGCTTTGTTCTCAAAAAAAAAAAAAAAACACACACATTGATGAGCCACACTGGCACACTGGGTGACACAGTCCTGGTGCTGCTGTAAATGGGGCACCCAATGTGTATTAGTCTGTCTAAAAATAGCTCCCAACAAATGCACTACATACTCCTGTATGAGTAATGGTTGCTAAAAGCTACTGCCCAACTTTCTATTTTTTTTGGAAGTTACTGAGCCTTTTAAACCATTTTTTATTCAGGGTTTACATCACTTGTAGGAACAAACAGCCTCGGGGCTGTGAACTGTAAACCGAACCGAAGCTGGAAAGTTAAACTAAAGCATTGTGGGTGTAGGTTTTCATTAGAATTTGTGAACACACAGTGAAATTAATAAATATGTATTCAACCTTATCAGTTTAAGAGCAGAGCCAGAAAGGACATATTCCTAAAGATGCTCTTGTGTTAGTTCAACATGTGGAGTGATAAATGAATGGAATGTTCTGTGTAGGTCAATGCAATGAGTTTTAGATTTTTTTTTTTTTTCAATTTTTATTAAATAACAGATTTGACAGCAAGATGTGCATGTTTTACTCCTTTGTAACATCTCTCTCTCTCTCTCTCTCGCTCTCAGAGGGGAGTTTGTTTACCAAGTGTTGTTGTTTACAGTTCAGGCGACGTCTCTGCATGCGGGGGTGTCAGCCAGATGTTGAAATAACCTCAATCTCAGCTCTTGCTTTTTTTTTTTTTTTGTGTTTGTTTTAACTGCATCTCCCGAGGCTGGAAGTTAGTTACGACACATTTAGTTTGGTAAATTGCGTTGCCGTTATGAACCAAAGCGCGCCTCTAATCTGGACTGTGTTCCGTGTTGTCGAATGTTGGAACGCGCCAAAGTAATTGCTCATTGTCGTCAAGTCAACGGGAAATGAAAATGCTTCTCTGAGTGACGAAGGGACACTGCAGGAGTTTCCTGTGCTGTAATTTAAAATGGATTAATGCATGCGCACACACAGAAAAGAACATGTTGTTATATCAAATGACTGTAGCTCTGCTGGGAACGGTTTTACAGTCATTTGAAGAAATATGTGCATCTATATGTATATGTCCTTTTTGAAAACTTAAGCAATCAAACATGCGCTCTGTGGACCTGTTTATTATTAAACATGATATACTCAAACAGAGGTGCTGATGCTGGTACTGGCCTGTTTGCTGTGTGTGGTATCATCATGCACATTTCTAAAGAGCTCTCCAAGGCCTCCAGAAACTATGATCATGAGTCCTGCAAGAGGTTGAAAAAGTTCCCCAAATTATTTGAAATGAATCATTCCGCTGTAAGATAATGGTCTACAAGACTCGAGGATTTCAAACGACCGCCATAAAGCCGATCATTTGCCGCACTGTCTGCGGGAAACTCTGCAGCTATTGGGGTCAAAGTGTATGCATCTACAATCAGAATGAGAACTGACCTGCATGAAAGGTGAAACAGGAAATATCTGTGAACATTAGAGCAACTATACAGTTTTTCAGTGACCACAAAGGCAGGCCTTTTGGAATAATATGCTGTGGACAGACAAATAAAAGATAGATCTGCTTAGTCACAGTGACGATAAACATATTTGGCACAGATAAAAGATAGCTTTACAGAAGACGAATCTCATACCAACTGTGAAGCATTTTGGTGGAAGCGTTGTGCTTTCAGGGTTGCTTCGCTGCCTCAGGGACTGGGGGACTGAATCCTGCACCATATCAAAGAGTGTTTGAAGATATTGTGAGACCATCTGTCTGTAAGTTGAACCGGAAGTGGACCTTTCAACAGGATAATGATCCTAAGCACACTAGCCAATCCACCAAGGAATGGCTCAGAAGGAAGAAATAGTGGGTTATGCAACGGCCTAGTCAAAGCCCAGATATGAATACGACTGAAATGTCGTGGGAGGATTTGAAACAGGCAAGACAAGAAATGTAAAGTACCTACAGGAAGTTATTTCTACTAAAACGGGTAATATTAGAGTAAAGAGTGTGCGTAGTTTTTATTCAGAAGTGTATTACTTGGTATTCTTGTTCTTATTCTTATTCTTGTAAATGATTGAAAAAGCAAATTTTCCTTGTGGCGTCTCTGTAGGCACTGTTTTAAATATGCTTAAATGTTTCATTGTTTAATATGGTAAAAAAAAGAAAAAGTCAACAAATTTCACACTCCTTTTTTTATTATTTATTTTTTAACTTTAATTGTTAAACGGGGAAAGGAACTGCACACTCCTGGAAGCCGTATGCTACTAATGTTTAGCTGGAACCGATGCGAACTAGTCGACATCAGAGGATGTAATAGAAAATAATTTCACGTCTCGCGCTTTGTTTGTTTTGCTATTCATTTGCAGTGTTTGTGATTGATGGCATTTGGTTCATTTTCCATGCTGGTGTGACTGTCAGTCGTCAGCCGCTGACAGCGCCTTTGCCCTCTAGACTCTGTTGGGTTTAAACGCTGTCAGCGCCGGCGCTTGACTGCTCAGGGACTTTGTATAAGGATATAACTGCTGAGAGCTGTAAATATGGTACTTACTGTAAGTGAACTGCTGGCTCAAAGTTAAGAAGAACCTTATTCCAGCTCTGAGGTTGCAGGAAATGGTGTTAGTATAGGTAATCCACTTAGCTCGTTTGATTTGCTTTTAGCACGTCCACCTCTTAATTCCAGAGACTGATTTTGTTTACCCTCGTTTTAATGGCCCACATTCATTCTTTGATCTGCCACTGATTTTTTATTTTTTATTTTTTTATCTGTTCTCCATCTTGTTTCTTTCTCTAATGTCGGTGTCCTTGCTGCTTGTTCCTTTTAAAGCTTGCTTATCCCAAAGGCTTTTGTTGTTGCACTTGTTTGTTTTCTGCTCCTTTTGTTAAATGATTAAGATTTCTGTATTATATATTTTTTGTTATTGTCAACAAATCGCATAAAAACTCCAAGGGCAATCTTCTCCAGCTTGTCTGTGGGACTAGAGTTCATACAGTGCTCCAAAGCCGATTAAAAATTATTTTTAAAAAGCTCATAATAAATCGTACGTAACAAATAAAGCAAGAAACCACTTGTGGTATATTGTTGTGTTTCTAATGTTTTAAGAACAACTTTAAACCTCTGATATCCAGAGAAATATGATGTTTTGGCTACAAGGGCTGTTTATGTTGGGTGCGTTTAATTCATGTTCATGTTATCAGATGTGTTTCTTCAACTTCGCAAAGGAACTTGTGGTAGTTGACAGGAACTTTGGGATAAAATACTTATCAGCGTCTGCGGTCTTGCATTTATAAAGCTCTTTTTGTGCTATTTATATCTACAAAACGTATATTGACAGATTTTAGCCAAACATTACCAAATTTTACAACTAAAATTTTGTATTTTTCATATTCCACACTCCCTTCTTAAAAAGAGCTACCAAAGTCTTCTAGTTTTCTTTTACTTCTACTTTTTTTTTTCTGAAGAATGCTTTAAAATCGTGTTGTAATTCTATTAAACACATGTATTACACAATTCGTCCATCTACAAAGCTTAAACATTTCCTGATGTATTTATGGATTCATGCATTTTTCCTAAAAGAAGGCTGCCATCCAACAATTAGCAAACTGTTTGTCACAATGTGTATATTTGGATTTTATTTTCTGTCTTTTTTTGTTTTTCCTGCAGCCACCTCTGTCACTTTGCCAAAAACTAATCTCATGGTGCTTTAGTGAAGCAAATAGCAGCATCCTGCCCGATAACCAGACCAATTTATTAAACCACAGCATTATTTGGTGTCTTAATAAACTCTGTTTGTCCTTCCAGGTGGATACGATAGTGACCCTGGGCGGTCTGGCAGGTAGATTTGACCAGACGATGGCATCGGTTGAGACCCTCCACCACGCTCTGTCCATGACTCCGCTCCCCCTGTTGATCATACAGGAAACGAGCTTGGCATATCTACTGAGACCCGTGAGTGGATTGTAAATTTCCCTTTGGGAGTAGGAGAGTCATCTATTCACAGTGTCCATAGACTACTACTGTCATCCCAGCCATCGTTTTCCCGTTAGCTTTCTGTCTGTTGAGCTACAGAGCCAGCTGACCATTGTTTCACATGCATGCAAGAAATACAAGCTAAAAATCCTACATGCATACTGCTGAATAAATTGGTGCATCTATCCTTGAATTTTTAAAATGTCAGTTCCCCAGTATTTCCCTAAAGGTGGACTGTGTCTTTCTTTTATGTTGCACACAAACACCACACACACACAGAGGCAGACCCAGAGCATATTTTCTCCACACAAGACCAAAATCCAGCTCTCCGGCTGTAACATCTACCAGCCCTTCTAATCACCCCTTTGCCCCGTTCTTCTATTCATTTTCCATTCTCGCTCAAAAAAAAATGTTCTTTTCCTCGCTCTGCTTCCACCTTGATTGGAGTGTTGAACACTTTGTTTCTTTGTTAAGTAATCACTTCAAGACACACACAAGCACAGACGCACTCTTCTCTGCTCTTATGGTGCCCCAATTTGCTGTTGTGAATGAGAGAGCGAGACTCTCTTTTGATGCTCCAGAATTGTTTTTTTTCCTCAATGCTAGCCACTTTCTCATGTTTCTCAGTTGATTGAGTTTACAAGTGGGCTGAGCGGCCGCCAATTGGGACCCACGCTGCTCTTTCATAGCCCTTCTTTCTTTCTCTCTCCCCCCCTCCGTGCTGTTTATTTGCGAGGTCTTTGGGACAAACAACTAACTGTCACACTTCCTGATGACACCTTGTAATACCTTAAGTAAACCTCTCCCTCATACACTCTCTCCCTACTTCTTGTCATTATTCCAAAGGCGTGTTGTCATTTGCTGCTTCATACCTCGACACCTCCAATTAATCTTACTTCAGTGAGGGTAAATTAAGCTCGTTTGTCAACGCGGCTCCAATTCGCCAGCGACTGATGAACGCAGACGCCTGTACATGAAGGTGAACGCAACCTTCGAAGGGCCCGGTGCTATTTGTTCAAGTTACATCTGTAATTGAAGTGTTTACAACTTTTGCCAAATATCCTCACCACCCGTATTCCGCACAATCACAGCTTCGTTACGTGCTTTGCTTCGGGATTTGGTGCTACAATCAATACCTACAGAGTCGTTCTGTGCACACACGGAACACATGCGGACGAGAAAAAAATGAAGACCATCTGTTTAGCTAATTTAACAAGTGGAGATTATGCCTTCTGAAAATATGGCCTTAAAACTTACTTAGAAATACATCTTATTAAACCTACACATTTTAGAAACTGAGCAAGATATGCTTCTTAATTAAATCAGGGCATGTCAGAGTCACAAATATGTTCTGACTTAATCAGGGTTGTGTCTGTTTGTTTTAGCTTTTGCCTCCCAAATGAGGTGTCTCAGTATTATTATTCTATCTTTGGGAAATCTGCAGAAGTCATGTGTTTTCTATAGCTGGCTCAGGGCATTGCATAATTCTCATGTCTTTTATTAAATTATGGGTAGGGACACTGTAAGGGTTGCAAGTTTTTTTTTCCCCCTACACGACAAGAAGATGTTTTAATCAGTCTAAGTCCCACGATAGTGCTAAATTTACTCAAATTGAATGTGAAAAAAACACAAAAAAAAAAGAAGTTGCACTGAGTTCATGTTCTTGGTTTGTTTTTCTCCTGCTTTGTGCTCCGTTGAGTCTCGGTCGGAGGGCCAAGCGGAGCCACATTTACTTAAATTAGTATCCCAGCCCCTGAAGATGCTTGAGAAAGCCTGCTCTCTGTGTTGTGGGACGCACAATGCACAACACTGTGTCAGCCCAATCCACGCTATAAATCATCCTCGCGCACGCACGCACACACTCCGGGTCAGAGCTACAAGCTTGTTTACCTGCTGCCCTTTTGAGGAGTGAAACTTGTCAGCGCAGGAGCTGATTTAAATGATAAAGTGTGATGCCTAAAATATGTAACTCACCTCCAACTTGTGTGCTGGAGCAAGTTTGCGTGGCATTCAAATACGAAATAAATATAAACAACAGGTAAAGAACTGGCCTGGTATCGTCTGTTCTGTACTGAAATGAATCACTCAGAGCAACAAATACAGGACTTTTGTTATATTCCAACGTGATGGTTAAATATTTTTGATGCGCTCTGACAGTTTGGTAGTTTTCTGACCTTGCGCATCTGTTTGGTATTTTGGTGCCAAGTGCAAAGTGCACAAGGCATAAGTGGGTGTAGACGAGCGAACAGGTGGGAGATGGAAGACTGTGCGCCGAGAACAGACGTCTCAGAACTATATCTGTCAATCTGCTGCCACTTGGGTGATTTTATCAGCAAAAGCCAACTAAATACTCAAATATGCGGCAATGACTGAATAAAGCCCAAAATGTAAATAAACACTTTTAATTAGTTGCTGCCGAGCCAGCGGATGAACGCAAATGCGCACAGAAACATTGTATTTATTTTGGTTGAAGTAGAAACGTTGGTAAAGCCTTCTGCATTGATCTATAAATTATTATAAGTGATTCTTACAGTAGCTGTTGTCCACAGCTGCTTGATGCTGCATCCAAAGCTTCTCATTCACCTCATTAAATCCTTGCAGCCATCTGAAAGGCAGCAAGATAAATATGTTGAAAAATCGGCACCGTCTGATTTGAGAAAGGCGAATTATGCAACGCAACCTCGATCAATACTACACGCATCAGACAGATCTGAGCACCAGAGTTCTGCTGCTTCACATTTGCATTTTACATGGTTCAAATATTTGCCCTTTTTTAATATTTCTTTTTCCAAATTCTCTATCATTGCTATGCAGATATGCTTGTGGCGAGCTTGTTTTTACAGCAAGATTTTCAGCTAAAACCAAATGATGGTAGATTCAACACAAAGGGAATCTGAAAACACTCTTAGCATATCAGTAATATACAGTAACATCATCAGCGTGTTTGCTGTGCTTCATACAAGCCACTCCTGCATATGTGTGCACTCGTGTAGGTACATGTGCATTAGCTCTCTTTTTTCCCCTCTGTTCTTCTTACACTGTGTCACTCTGACACATTTACACAAAGACAGCGTGTTTATGTATAGAAAACAACCTCGGGGTTGTTTCTTGAACACCAACATCTCCAAAGCTTAGAATTTTCCCACCATTCCTTCCCTCTGGCCCTGAACCTCCAGGAAGCCAAGCAAAAGAGAACTCGACTTTAAACATGTCACATTTTAAAGGTTTCAAACTCTCACTTGTGTGTGTTTGTGTGTATTTGCTGCGTTTGTCTGTATGATTCTTTCAGATGATTGATGTAGGTTGAGGCTGTCAACATTTTTATTTTTTTTTTGTCTTTGTATTTCAGCATGAGCTAACGTACCAGAAGATATTCAAAATGTTTGTCTTGTAATTATTAAATATCAGGGCTTTTTGCTTTATGCAGCCACAGCGCTTCCTCACCAAGTACATGTGTTTGTGCTGTAATGAGACCGTGGCGTTTCTTTGTGTCGTCCTTTTTTTTTTTCTGTACACTATGAATGAGAGAAACTTTGTTTTGACCTTTTTATGTTCCAGGCTTTATTATAACCGCTGCATTCAGAGCAAAGTCATTATTCAGCCTGAAGAGTTGGACACTGCCTTCCACCTACACTGTAATTCTCTTGCTTTTTTGTCTCCTAGTCCTACTTTCTCAAAGGGATGCTGTGACATTTTGTAGTTTTGTTCATGTTTATTCTTTTTGTAGAGCACTTTATGAAATGTCACTCCTCTCAGAAACTTTTCTTCATCTATCTTTCAGACACCACTGGGAGATACACGTTAACCCTGCCAACTGTTCTCCAGATATATATTGTTCCCTCTAAAACCTTAAAATACATTACGGTATTCACTGCCTCTTAACTTCAAGTGAAGTATTCATAACTGTACTTTTTTTTTTTAAGTTTGAAGCTGGTTTTTAGTACAGTTATGGGTGTCAGTACAAAAATCTTTTGACTCCTCATAACACGCTTTAAAATGGACCATAATTCAAAATGGCAAGGTCTTCTTTTTAAGCGTTGGTAGGAACTGAAAATGGGCTGCAGCTTTGACAAGAGCAATAATTTATTTTAATGAGCCCTGCGTGGAGAAGCTTCTCAGTTGGGGCTGAAAAAGTTGAAGAAGTCTCGCCCCGCGCTTGTTTTCTCATTGTTTTCATACACATCCGTATACGTATACACGCAGATGAATACTAATCCGTTGTCACATTCATGCTGTGTGCCAGCAGGGCAGCCACAGACTGGAGGTGAACACGGGTCTGGAGGGAGACTGGTGCAGCCTCATTCCTGTAGGAGGGCCCTGCCAAACAACTACGACCGGCCTGAAATGGAACCTGAGTGAGTCCCTTGTTGTTTATTTCTGTTTTATTATTATTATTATTAGCCTTTGAATCATGCTTCACAGCAAGTAATTAGTCTCCGGCTTCGCTTGCTGCTAAACTTTGCAGGCTCAGTAGAACGTATCGTGGTAGATAACAAGTCTACAGTGGATGAGAAAAAAAAAGATGTTGGTATTTTTTTGCAGAGGGTGGAAGACTACAGAGGGGCTTCAGCTCCGAGTGTTGAATTCTCCATTCGCAGTAAAAGAAGAAACACACACACAAGCATAATAAGATACAGCAAAGCACATGCGCTTAGTTTGCTTCGGTTGAAATTAGGCTTAAACAAGTTTCATATTGAAGACACGTAGCATGTCACAAAGAGCTTTCAGTATTCTTCAGCTTTTAGCGAAAATCGAATCAGACACTTATCTGAGCGACCCCTGTGTTCGTACCCCCACTCCAACCCTCGTGGCCAGCTGTGTTCTTAATGAGTTGGCACAGACCAAACTGCCATCCGTACGAGGGAAACCTGGACCTTCTGTCAGCGGGGGTTGCATAATGTGTCTGCTTTTGCGGTGGGCATCCGCTGCACGTTTTTCCAGGAATCTATACACTCGAGTGAGCACGCTTATGTGGCCGTGCTTGTTTGAACATGTCTCCATGAGTGTTTGAATATGCCCGTGTCTGGTTGTGCTTCTCCAGCTCCTGTTTATTAACTTGTGGTTTGTGTGTGTTTTTGTTTTTTGATCAGCTACAGTGTGTTGTATATTTACTCAGCGCACCTGTGAGGTGGCCTTCTGAATGGTAATGAGAGGGACTTTATACATGAGAGTCCTATGCAGATTAGCCAGTGATAACAAGATGCATAATTAACCGCATGCATATTTAGAAGGCTACAAGTAATGATTCCCCTGTGAGGTCGAAAGGAAGAAGCAGAATATGAAGCAAAAAATTAGGAATTTCTGTTTTTTATTCCTACCGCTGCTCGTATAACTGTTTATATAGTAAGTGTGTATCATGTAATACTCTTTTTCTCTGGTTTGTGCGTTTGTATTTACTGTCTAAATTTGTGTCTGTACAGGGTTTTCGATGCAACTTGCTTGCTTGGGGAAGCCCAAGTCAGAGCAGCGGCATTCTCGGGTGACACTGAGGCTCTTTAGAAGTTGAAATGATACCCCACACTTGAGTTCAAAGCATTTCTGTGATGAAAAATATATGATCTTTCTATAAAGAAAGAGTTTTAGGCTGTCAGCCATTACAGCCTGTCTGGCCCAAAGGAGACTCTTTTTTTTTTTTTTTTTTCATCCAGAGGTTTTTTTTTTTTTTACTCGTGCTTTAAAGAATAAAAATCTGCAGCGGTTCATGTTGTTTTGATCCGCAGCGTAAATTTAGTCAGCTATTGAGCAAACATTTTTTTTCCTGGTTATTGTACTCCAGGGGAATGTGCAAGATGAGCTGAAAAACCCTTGCCCCTAGTTAATTATATCATATGTTCACTTTTTGTTGGTTTATCAATAATTTATCTTGTTGTGAAATCAGATCAGACGCAGTACACATCAATGCTCAGAAAGTTGAGCGCTGGATACCTCAAAGCCTTTAGAAAACACATTGCCAGATAGCAGCGGGAGTAACAGGGGAAGTGTGCTTTTGTTTTTATTTGCTCAACTGACCCTTTAAGACACGAAGGGCCAGGCTGAGACACCGTGTCAACTACACGGGAACCTAGGAGCGCATGGGTCGATGCCCCGTGGTACCGGGAGGAAAAACATACAGCTGTCAGCACAGTCAGCTCCTGAAGGTCATGACAGAAGCAATCTGCTCCGTGATTTCTGCAGGAAATTTGCAGATAATCGGTGGTCAGCTGAGGTATAGTAGTTCACATACACTGGTGCTTTGCTTTAGCACATTTTTGTTTGGTGTTCAGTGTAAGGCATTACTCTCCAGATGATGGAAACTTCACAGCACTGGAAAGAGGCAGCACATCCAGTTAATAAGAATAAGACAAAAACACGAGCAGTTATGCATATAGCCACAAATAAGTAAGGAGGTTGTCCTGCCAGGGGTGTTGTCAGTTTTTGATCAATTTTGTTAGAAAACATAAGAACCACTTTGCATTTACTCCATAATGCACACAGTAAGCATATGTTAAACTGACTAATTTGGTTTATTTTTAGTTACATTACATTTACGCAATTTGACTGTCAACATAGTCAAGCAACTGAGTAGCATGTTAGCTTTTTACAACTTCCTGGCACATAGTGCAGTCTGTATGAAATACTCTGCAAAAAATGCAAATTTTCAACATATACAAGTCAAATATTGGACTCAGGAAAAAATGGAAGGAGTTTGCAAACACATTAGAGATCACAGAGGTTTGCATTGGAATGAATGGAGTACAGGTTGACTCACCTGCACATACGCATAGTTTTGTAAAAACAAAGCAGAAAATCTGTTAGTTTTTTGGGGTTTTTATGTAAGTACGTAAGTAGTGGTGGTGGTGGAGAGAATGGTTCTTGTCAGGAGAGTAGAAGCTCATATAAGCAGCAGTTAGCTCTCATATTTTTTTCTGTGTAAATTTCTTTTGATACATTAAAGAAAGCATACCTATAAACAATGACAGCACCCTGACCACATTGAACTGGCATTTTGTGTCTCTTTTTGTGCTAATTCCAACACATGAATGCCTTAATAATTTAAAACACATATATACGTAAAATATTTTAATATAAATGTAAATGGTATTATAAATCTGCCTCATTCTCTCACTGTCTATAAACTGTAATTGTACTTAAAACATGTTCATTTTTAACTTCTGAACTTGTAATAACAGAGGTTGAAACTTTATTACCCCTCCAAGGTGAGAACCTAAGCAGAAGTGTGTTTTCACTGCTGTTTGTCAGCACGATTTCGTAAAAACTACCAGAACGAAACTTACCAGAGAGGTGAAGCACTTCTGGTTCACTTTAATAAAACTTGAGGAGCATTGTTGCGAAGGCCTGCGCTTTTTAAAATGTTGTTTTGTTTCCCATCACCTGGAATTGCAGTAGAAATACGACGAGTGCAGCGGCTTTGCATAGAAACTTCCTCAGAGTCATTAGCCTGTTGCGCAGTGAGGGAGAGAGCAGAAACAGCCATCTGCAACATCACCAAGGCAGAGGAGAAAGCCTTTGGATTGCTGTGGCTCAAGAGAGTCTTTGTTGAGACTGCTGTCTAATAAAAGGACTGCACTGCGGTAATGATACTAAAGGAGGGGTGTGCACTACTAAATAATGAAGCGACTGCAGTGTACTAAATGTAACAATGCATGGAGGGGGGTACGATATTATGATGAAGTGACTTTAATAATTGGTATATGTTGTGCACAGCGTCGTGAATATAGTGTCTTGCGGAGAGCGGCGGCTGAACAGATAGATGGGACTTACTTGGCATTATTCTGCTATATGTAGCACTGCTCTCACTCACATTCCTAGCTGTTGTAATTTACACTGTCTCTCACTATCATTTCCTTTTTTCACTCTGTTCTACCCCTTTACCTAATGATTTGCTCTCTCCGTCTCTCACTATCTCTTCCCTCTCATTACTAGATGCCGTGACAGCTGTGCTGCTTATCACCTTCTGTACATTACATTAATTTTCAGCAAATCTCCCCCAGGAAACTGTCAGTAAATAGTGTCACTATGTATATGCACATACGGTTGTGTTGGTTGCGTCTGAGTATCTATACATATGAGCTCGCGGTCATGCATTTGTGTGTATATGAGGATGGGTTGTGAGGTTTGGACAGCAGCTCAAGGCAATTTTCCTTAATGATATCATGTCCGGTGAACAATTTTTAAAATTCATGTTCATGTGTCACATGCACGCACACTGTTTTGCAACAAGCCCTTCCAGTTTTGTGTGATAAGTAGACAGGCACGGAACCACAGCTTCCCACATTTTGGTCATCAACCCACCGAAGGCACAGCCCCTTTGTCTCACATATTCTGACAAATGATGTACGCGGGTTGTTTTTTTGGTAGTTTTTTGCTAATGTGATGATAAATACCTGGTTAAACTGAATATTCCCTCAACACATAGGTATTTTGTGATCATAGTATTTCTCCATATTATTTGCATTCATTGGGTGAGGAAAATTAAGTTGACAAAGGTAATAAAGTAATTCTGATTTGCTAATTATTTTGCTAATTATACTGATTAATTGCTCAGATTATACAAATTACTTCCTCAAAATGGTTGCCAGCAATAAACATATTTAATCAGGAAAAGCTTTGAGGTTGCACAAATCTTGCTATCTTTCAACAAACTTATAAATTGATAAAGGCATGTGTGTACATAGTTACACCTGGTCGTGTCTTATAGTTTTTCTTTGATAGAAATGTTTAGGTACAAATAATTCTCCAACTGCTTCTGTTTTGTCTTTCTCACCTACAGCATTAAGCTAAGTTCACATACAAGTCTACTAGAAGATGAGGAACATCGTAGAATTTTCTGTATTTCTATTCAGGAGATGCAGCAGTTAACACCTGCCCAATCCGGTAAATATTAATAAGGCAGCACTGCATCTGATAAACCAGCAAAGGCTCAATTTAATAAGAGTTTGAGCGGCAAAGACGACGCCGCTCTTAAATATAAAAGTGCTGCTCGCAAAATGGTGTGGTGAGGTGAACTATAAAGAGGTTGTGGTAGGAGGAGAGATAAACAGAAAGATGACAGGGTAGGAGTGGCTGAGTCACAAGAAAAATGAGAAGATAAAAGACGGATATGGGGAAAGAAGTAAGAGCAGGGTGGAAAAAAAAAAAACACACGCACACGTTATGATGGGATGACATATGAGAGGGAGAGAAAGAGACCTGCCAGGCGTCTCGTTCATTTGATGTCTGAGCATGCCAACACATCCGGAAATGTCAGATTATGGAAACTGTTGAGAAGTGTGTAGGAGCTTTTAACAGCAGCTTGCATTTATGCACACACACACACACACACACACACACATACACAGAGATGGGCACGTATAAG